AAAAAGGATGCTTTCCACCAGAGGTCCTTAAACAGGCCTGCATTTGTTAGTATTTTGAGTAAGAGAGGGTGAGTTGGAAAGAGTCTGAAAATGGTTGAAATGAGATTTAATGGAGTTTTGAGAGAAGCTATAAACACACACAAAGGTGTGTAATTCACTGTAACCGTTCATAGATCCTGTTTTTTAAAGTCAGGTTTGTCTGTAGAGCTCATTTCAGCAACGAGGATGTTCAAAGTACGTTACACCGTAAAGACAAATATGAAGCTAGTGGTAAAGATTACGTTTTGTCCAGATGCCATCATCAAGTATATTAATTCATATCCCACTTACTGCTAATCAAAAGCAACTCTGAACAGGTTTTCAGAAACAGGGTTTTTCTTCTGTTTGTTCCAGATCTGTACTTCGTATTGTGCATATTTTAGCCTTTCTGTGTCGACTTCCTTATTTGAACAAGTTCAAGTCCGTTTTCTGAAATGGAGCAACACATTCAAACAGCTTTCAGCGCATGTTTCAATAAAAAACAACAACAACAATTTATAAAAAAAATAAATACATAAAACGTAAAGTTTTATTGCAGTTGTAGCTGTCATAATAATCCCTAACAGGCGTTTCCTTTCAGCCACATGTACGGCACAAGAAGTGTCACGTCTATTATCAGCTTTCTGTCTGTTGGGGGTTACATGAGAACAGGCACCGAGTGATAAGGCTGAAATTTGTTGCTACGGCGAGACTGCTGTCCTTTACTGGTGTCTAAAAAAAATCTATAAGATTGAAAAGGGAAGGATTTTATATTCGACGTCAACAAGAGGCTGCGTTCCTTTTCACACTTGTTTCTTGGAACAAAACTACGTTTATTCACGAGGATGCCCGCAAGTAGACTTTCACAGTTTTTCTTTCGTTTGCTTCATTGTCTTTTACTTTTTTTTGCCATATCTTGTCAAGAAATGAAGACGTTAAGCTCCTCTAGTGGCTGCTTATTTTAGAAATCTTTTGCGTAAGTACAAAAAAAAAATCTTTTTGACTCCATTCAACAAAACTATTGGAATAAGAGTTGCTCATAAACTGAAAATGATGCTTCAACTGCAGGAAGGCAGGTTTTGAGACCTTTTTTTTTTTTTTTTTACATAGTTTAAAAATTTATTTAAGATATTTTAAGTACACATCACTAAAACTATGTCAATTTTAGGAAAGCACGCATATTAGTTTGTAAGTGTAATAAAAAAAAAGAGTTAATTTCAATTAAGTGGCTTTTAACTGGAAGAGTTTGGTTCAGTCAGCTGTTTTTGTTATGGGCAGTAGAGAGGTGAAATGTTTAAATATGTTTAATAAAGAACAAATATATAAATTTACCAAAAGTTAAGGACTGCCATAATGCAGATCTTTTTTTATTTTGTGGTACTATTGTGATAATAAAGATTATAATAAAAAACAAATCATTACATATTTTGATAAGTAATTGCATGGCTGTGACGGGATGATGTAGCATCCCTAGCACCGAAAACACAAACAATGTTTCTACAAAACATTCCCATTTGAAACAGGCATCTTCAGAACAACAATTTCTTTAAAAAAGTGTGATTTATATCACTTAGTTGCACCCAGTAACTGCATTTAATCACACTTATTAATTTAATGATGCTCATGTGGAAGAAATAGCGGAGAAAATAGCAAAATAAATAAATAAATAAATAAATAAATAAACAAACATTTACCATCAATAAGTGAGATTTTTCACTATAAATGATAATGTGGTAAATTCCCACCACTAACAGTGTACTACACAAAACATTCCAGTTACTTAGAAGTTTGTTTGATTGATTTATTTTTCCTGTCTCTTAAACTTATGAGATGTATCAAGCATTAGTTAACATCTTTGTTTTTTGTTTTTTTTAACATACAATCATAAAGTTTACTTACTTGTTACTGTAACTTTAGTGCAGCAATAAAATGTAGGCAAGTTAACAGAGTTAATCCAAACCCACTTGTGTTTATCTATGAGATATGAATTCTCATCAGGCCAATCAAATAGATGTTTGTAATTCATCTTTTTGTTTTTAGGCGTAAGGCATGTCGTGAATTTTGCAAAAGTCCAGTTTTCCTCTAAATTATCCATGAAAAGCCGTGCAACTGTGTTTTTACGAGAGCTGTGTCAGAGAGGGGCGGGGGAACGAGCGGGGGTGTCGGGTGGGGTTTGGGATTAGTAGGGAAAGTGGCAGGGATATGGACAATGATAGCTGCATCCAAAAGAGGATTACACAGGTTCCCCTGTGTCATCGTGTACCTGCCATTATGGGATTACCGACGCTACTTCCACCTTCTCCGTTCGACACTTCACAGCAAAGCCTTCAGAGTACTTCTGCGCTCTTTCACATCCAAAGCTCTGACGCAGAGGGGAAGAAGCTGGTCCAGGGGTCAGGGAGTACTAAAGCTACATGCAGGGGAAGGTGATATGGACTTGGAATTTTATTGTGATATTTTGAGGTAGTATTGTGATCATGATCAAAATATCAGTATAAAAACTATTTATTACCCATTCTTTTAGGTAACTGTACCACACAAATAAATATTGTTCTTCGAAGAACATTCCCTTTGGAATATGCTTTTTTTATGACGTCACTTATTTAAAGAAGTGTGGTTTATGTCACACAGGAACTGCATTTAGTCCTCCTTTTGAATTTGACGATATTTATCAATGCTCTTGTGGAACAATCTGTGAAAAAAATAGGAAAAAAAAAACATTTCTGACTTTTAAAAATGTAATATTGTAATTGGAATTTATTGAGGCAGCGATAAATCAAAATTCTTATAAGGAATTTTTCATGATAAATGATAAACGATACAATAAACACCCACTCCTACCTGCATATTGACTATAACAGTAGTGTTTGCATAATGATTCTCCCTTTAGGAGTGTGTGGTGTGGTTAATCTTAATTTCACAAATATAAAAATTAATACAACACACACAAACACACACACAGTATGGTTTATAGACTTGGCGGGGTCCGAAAGTAGAATGGTGAGTTGCGGGGCCCACCCTTTCTAGACGTCCTAGATCTATGAAAAAAATCAGGCAAGTCCCCCAAAAAATCTTGATAATAAAAATCAATCGTCCCCACAAGGTATTACAAACAAACGCGCACGCACACACACACACATAGAAATAAGAAGCATGTGGACAGGTCCAGTGAGATACATAGTGTTGATCCACACACACAGAGCAATTAATGGAAGCTTGAATCAGTGGAGCAGTAAATGCTCACCACAAAGAAAAACTCACACACACCCACACACACTCTGCTACCATCTCTGCAATAGTGAATACTGATTTGGCACAGTCTCCCATGATATCTATTGTTCATTAGTCATTGTTATCCTGCTTTGATGTAGCTGTAATGGGCTTTAGATGTGTGGATCGGCTCCATAAAGACCCCTGTTTAGTAACAGCCACGGTTTAAATGCTCTTAATGTGCTGCCACAGCACAGGGAGGGGCCCGGAGCACTAAATCACCGAGAAAACAGGGGCGGAGGTGTGGAAAAGAGCGATGGCGCACGAGACAGAAGCACTGGAGAAAGGAGAGGAGGCTGAGGGGCGAGGGAATGGCGACCATGTGAGTGTGTGCGAGTGTGTGTTTGTGCATTCTGATAAGGCAGGAGAGCCTCCCGCCGAAACTGCAGACATGTTTACACAGCACAGGTTCACACAGTGACACACATGCACACACACACACCCACGCACACCTACACACACACACACAGGAGTTGAGGTCTCCATCTAGTTAAGGTGCATGTGTCATGAGCTCGGTGATGGTGATTAAACTATTTGTGTGTGTGTGTGTGTGTGTGTGAGTGTGTGATCTGTCGAGTTCCCGGTACAGGCAGAGCAAACAGAACAAGGTAGCCATCAGCCTCTCCATTGTATTCATCTGCTCACTAATCTTCAATGGTTAAATCATTATCCATCCACCACCTCAGCCAATGGCCGGGTAAACACTACCGCACTGTCGCCAGGCGGCACCGGGACTTAATGCGGTGCGGACACACACACGTACACGCGCACACACACACGCGCGCAGTGTTTAGTAAAGTCATCCATTGGAAAGACACAACAACAAAAAGAAAAATGGCTAATATGTTAACATGTCTTTTTTTTTAGCAATTGCAGAAGAAAGTATTCCAATAAAAAAAGTTTAATAAAATCAAACAATTACCTTGCAGAATTGTCTACATGAACAAAATGCAGTCAATTTCTGGAAATTTGTTTTGTAAATCAAGTTGTAACAGTTTTTATCCTTCAGGCAGAATACGGGAATTTAACTGAACATATTAACATCCACCTCCTGTTGGCACTTGTGTCCCAGCTGTACACAGTGTGTGTGCTGTATGCTGATCACACACTGATGTTCAGTCAACATACTTGTTCAGTCAAGAATACTTGACTTTAGCCTGTCTAAAACTGCTGTCAGGATGAAAGTCATTGTTGAAGAAAAGATAAACTCTAAATTAGCCTAAACAAGCCACAGCAGCATTGCTTTGTGGTGGTGGTATCATCATGGTGAGGCTACAGCAGGAACAGGGTATGTGGTCAGAGAAATGAAAAACTGAATGGACCTGAATAAACCTGTTGGACGCTCGAAAAAACAGGAAACTGTGACCAGTGCTGCTTTCCCAGCAACCCTAAACACACAAGCAGAGCTACAAAGTAATGGTAGCTTGGAGCATATTCTTGCGTCATCATGGCCCAGTCAAGGTTCACAGTTAAAGCCAACTAATAATTTTTTTATTTTTGAGCTGATTTTGAAGAATATCACCAATTTGAGCCATTTTGTTTTTTGGTGAGAAACGTTAAAAATCATACAGTTTCATTTTACTCTGCAGTTATGTACAATTTTGTGTTGGTCCATCTCATAAAAAAAAATAAATAAAAAAAATCCAAAACGTTCAAGAAGGATGAATGTACAAGAAAAAAAAAACATTCTGTGTTGTAAACATTATTGCTTAGGTCAATAGGATTTTTTATTTTAAGAATAAAACACCCAGAACACACAGGCCTACTAAACTTAAATCCTGTATAAATCCACTATGTATAAATTTGTGTTGGTCCATCCCACAAAATCCTCCAAAAAAGTGAGAAAAGTTCAAGAAGGAGAAGCGTACAAATAAACATTCTGTGTTATAAACACAACAGCTTGGATGGGTCATTACTTTCTCTCTTCTTTTTAAAAAAACACACAAAAAACAACAAAAAAAGAAAAACAAACCTAATCCCATATTTACTGGATTTCACTCAAATCCCGTAAAAACATGCTTACTTCACACTAGGGCGAATGCGCTCGTGAACAACGTATGAAGGAACAGGAGCTGTTGCCATCTCCAGGTCGGAGGGGCCTCCATCACTCAGCAGGATACTCAGGCAAATCTAATTGCAGGTAAATGTACAGTGCTGCTCTCTGTGGCTCCTGCGTGGAAAAGATGGGAGGAGAGGCCCAGCGACATGGTTAGTATTGGTCGGGATGACTGATTGGCCCTGCCCTAACTGCATTAGACGGTGGAGAAGTGGCTGCCTCCCCCACTCCCTCCCGGCCCCTCGGCTCTGCCGCAGATTGTGAGGGTGTAGTCGACGAGGCTCGGTGGGATCGCCACACAGGGCCGCTGGGCGTGACCCGCTCCTACCATGGGTCCCCCCCTGTGTCAACCTCAAACGGAGAAGCCTGCCGTTGCTTGGAGCGTATTAGGAGCCCGTTGAGGCGAAGGTAGTTCAGGGGGCCTCTGCCATAGAAGATCGGATCAGAGGTTGTTAGCAGCGAAGAGCCGCGGTGGATGAGAGGAGGAGACGCATCATTTATAGGGTCAGAGCAGGCCTGGCAGTCCACACACACACACTAAATAAAAAACCACACATGAAGCTACACACAGTGGACAGTAAAGGGCAGCTCATTACTCAGTGAGAGCTCAGGTTTCCAGCGTAGACCTCTCCATTAGACCTCCTGTTAGGGAGAAATGAATGGCTGCAGCTCCTCCGCACCCATAAACCACCCGACCATCCGCAGCAGGAGAAAATGAGATACAACTTAAAGGAGGGAGGGGATCTTAGATGAGTGTGTGTGTGTGTGTGCGTGCGAGAAGGGGGGTGGGGGGTCCTTGGGGTCTTTGAGATGGAAATGTCCAGCTGGCCGGCCGTCTGCTGCCTGACCCCGGAGCGAGAGGTCAAAAGCCGGGGTCCCCAACCAACGGGCCGCTGACCAAACCAGCACACATACAGTGTATCCCCGTTACACTTACATTTGTTTGTGTGTGTGTTAGGTGTGTTTTCAGAGGAAGGGGGGGTGAGAGGGAGCGTGCACTCTGCCGTGTGTGCGTAATTGATCATTTAATCTAGCTGACATCATAATCCCCGACGCGTGTTTAACTAACTGCCCGATGGAGGAGCAGAAGGGCTGAGTAATTATCTCATCTGGATACATTAATAACGAAGCATCACTCACCGTTACCGTGGCTCCGTTGCTCCTGGATCAATTTACATCTCGCAACCAAGAGTGTTTGCCCGTTTGGGTTTTTTTTTTTTTTTTTTTTTTTTTTTGCGTTGGCGATCATCCGCGCCGACGCGTCGCACCTCGAGGAAGATCGTCGGCCATCACGCGGCCCGAACCTGATGGAGGAGCAAGCTAAAATGGAGACCGGTGTGCGCTGACTTCGGCTCATCTGCACAACAGATTTATTGCAAAGACAAAAACCTTGAAAAAGAGAAAGAATGAACCGCAAATCAACATTACTGGACATATAACGATCAATAAATCCAATCCGGAGGGGCTGGGGGTGTGCGGATGGGGAGAGAGAACATGGCGTCGAAAAAACGAGTGTTTGGTTTCAAACTGAAGTGCAGGTTCAGAGTCAGTCGTATAAACGACAGCCGCCACACAAATGCCAATCAAATTAAATGCTAGATGAAACGAAAAGAAGTCAACCTAGTTGTGCGCGCGTGTGTGTATGTGTTTTGCGTTTGCGTGTGTGTGTGGGCGCGCGCTCGTGTGTCAGGGTCTTAGGAAAATTATTTCTATTGATTTAAGGCGGAGAAACGTGGAAATGTTACCAGATGGGACATTTAGCCGTAAGTGGCTTCAGATGAGACGAGTCATCTTCGAAAGGCCAGGGTGGAGAGATGCAGCAAATGTTCATCAAATATGAAACAAAAACAAATGCTGAGACAAATCCACAGCTCTTCATGCATTTCTAGAATTGCCAAAAAACATATGGACATAAATGAACTTGCATCTCACATGTTGGAAGCAGTTTTATGTACTAACATTAATATCAGTACTGCATTCTAGGTTGTATTTACAACGGACACACTTGGTTTGCTTTTAAACAGACTGGAGTTTGTTTACTCCGTCGATCTGGACCTTTTGTGTTTGTGAATGCATTCAAAAGAACCATGGTGGTGGAACCAAACAATCGGACCGAGAGCCAGTTTTTGAGGTCGCCAAACAAACGCTGCTGGTTCTAGTGTGAATGCAGCCACAGATGCTGTTCATTATGCTGAATGTAAGGTCTTTAGTGTCGACGTTACTGTTGTGTGCAGTGATTATACTGAAATCCTACTTGAGATGCAGATTTTCTGCCTAGCAATGCTAATGGTAGTAGCATGTCATGGGTCAGGGACACGCAGAGGGTTTGGTCTCATTCTGCTTGCAGCGCGCATTTGCAGAAATAACCTGTTTTCAGTGAGCTGCTGTTGACATTTAAAACGGTACTGGGGTCATCATAAAATCACAAATGTGCACAACAGAAATGCCAAATGCAGGACTTACAAAGTTTGCTTTTTCTAGGTCTGTGCCTGTCTGTCGAACGGGAGCAGGAATGTTATAGGCCACCTGCAAAAAAGTACAATGTGAAAGCAAACTGTACCAAATGAAAAAAGTAAAGTCACATTTTGGTTCGGACCAAACAAGTGGACCAGAGGTCTTTCCTGGTGTGAATACAGCCATGAATGCTGGGCAGCACCTGAATATAATTGGCTCTAAGCATTTCCACTGACCATTAAAGGTTGTTGTCCTTCCTGAAGACGACCAGTCAACCCTGTTCTTGTTTACATACTAACTGGTGAGGATTAGAAAGTGGGAAGGAAAACAGCATGCTGATCCTAAATTCAACTTACCCCCTATAAAAATGGGTGAGTGTCCTTCATATTAAACCATACTGCGGACCCCCAGGATTTATGGGGCAACAACTGCCCACAAATAGCTAAAACTTGCCTCTATGACTGCCTAATTTAATGATTCAAACACAAAAATATACCTTAATAATTATTAATATGCACAGTGGAAACCGCTCTTGGAGGCACAGCCAATATGTACCAAGGAAAATGAATGATGCTCTTGCATTGGATGGTTTGCAAACATCAACCAATTTGCGCCAAGTAGTGTACCACTGGGCATTTCAGCTTCACAAGCTGCATTTTGTTTTGCAAGTTTTAGATATTTATGAAAAAAATCTGCAAATAATTTGGAGTTCGGCAGAACAATCAGCGAATAGGTGAAAACTGAACTTCTAAAAGTCAATAGGTCTCCACTGCTTTGCAGAAACATTCCCTCTACAAAATGTAAAAATTGAGGTCATATTTGCCCCTAAGCATCTTTGTTCACAATCAGTCCAATACTTTATAACGAGACACTGTTTGCAAGTTTGCAAAGCCTATATATGCCATCCATCGATTTGCCCAAGAGTGAACCTGATGGTGGAGACACTGTCTCCCACTCCTGTCCATGTAACCGCTGATGAGTGAGTTATGTTTTCAGGGCTGGTTGTTCCTTTATCTGCGTGTTCGCCGATTTCTATCCGTCCGTTCTGGTTCAGGTTAGGAGACTCACTGCAGGGCTGTTTAGATTACAGCTACAGCTCAATAAAGACAAAATCAGCTTGCCAAGCACACACACACACACACACACACACACACACACACACACACACACACACACACACAGCACTGTTACCCTGACCTTAACCGTGGCCTCCTCCTTTCCTACTTCTTCAATCTTAACCTAAAGCTAACCTCAGTATTCACAATAAAATTGATTGATTTAGATTAGGCACACACACACACACACACACACACACACATGCAGACACACAGCACCATCAGTGTTATATGAAGATGTACATGTCTGCACAATGGCATTAATTTCATTTGGGCGAATGTAAACACATCTGGATATATGTGCACACAGACAGACACTCTGAGACGGCCGCGGAGTCTGGTCTTCTTCAAGTTAATTTGTCACAGAATCGATCTGATCGCTCGTCATCTCAATAATGATAGAAAAGATACGAAATGCAATTGAAACTCTGAAATCTAATATTTTGGGGTCAAATCGTTTAATGAAGAGCAATTTGACTCCGGAATTTCATCGTTCCCATTGTGCGCTATCTGTATCAATGTTGTTTTTCCATTTGCCTTGGGATGACTTCAGATGCCGTAATGGCAACGGGAGAATCAAAGCCAGCGATTCTTCACTGCACAAACCCGGGTGAACCACTCCAAAACAATTCAGGATTGAAGCTAATTTACATTCATAATTGGGAAAAAAATAAATAAATACTACTTCGAGAGCACAACTAACGCTTAAAACAAGTAAAATTTATGCTAAACATAGGTAACTGGGATAAAATCAGAAATATGATTATGGAGTAAGACTAAAAAACTTGCAGAAGTATCCATACCCCTCCACATTGGGAAACTAATTGTGTAGTAAAAGAAAAGCAATACATGGTTCTCATTTTTTTAAATATAAGAAATGGAGCATGTACTTGTATTTATCCCCTTTGTTATGACACCCCTAAATAACATCCAGTACAAAACAATTACCTTCAGATATAATTTTGTGCTAATGTCAGTATCCAGATGTGCAAAGAGCGTAAAACTCGTGTCTTGCTCCACATGTTGTTTTTGCCTGATTTTCGAGTTGTGATAAAACAAGGTTGTGGGAAAACATTTCTCTTTTCAAAAATTACAATAAAAAAAAGAAAAGAAAAGAAGAAAACCTGTGAAAATCATTGTGTTTAATTTGCGGCATGCAGCAGATGAGAAGCAGCCCTTCAGCTGACATTTGTTCCTGTGGAGGCTGATAATAACTGTGATTGTGTGTCTGAGCTGCAGCTTAGTGAAAAAGGTACCTTTGGGTTGTTTATTTTCACAATCATGTGCGACAATCATACCTTAACCTTATATGTGAGTGGTACCTTACACTGGTATGTGTTGGTGTGTGTGTGTGTGTGATTACCCATGCTGTTATCAGCAGCAAGCCACCATTCAGTGCTACTGAAATGAAAGGTTTTCCTCTGCCACAAAGCAGTTTCTTTGTTTCCACGGTGCTATGATTCTGTCAAAATCCTGGAGAAAACGGAGGGGGGAGAGGGAAAAAAAAAAATCAATGACTTACCTTCACCCTCTCCACCCCCACGCCATCCCAATCCCCAGCAGCAGTCTTAACCTATGAGGCCACAGCCATGTAAGTACACATGCCAACACATGCATTTATGATCAGTTGGGGACAAAAACCCCCATAAAAATAAATTGCACTAATGTTTACCTTCCCTCTGTGCTTATCTGATTTATTTATTTTTTGTTACTTGTGGAGAAAAGACCCCACATATTTTGATGTTTGATTTAGAATCAGCTGAACACCCGGATGGGTGATGATACTTGAAGACTTGCGTCTTTCTGCGATACTAAGTTTGTTTACAGTCACAATATTTACAGCGTTAAGAGAATCCTCTTAACGGGGATCTGATGTTCTATATTTTCATTTTGCCACTTGAATTTCAAGACCTTTTTAAGCAACTTATTGCCACAAAATGTTGCCCATTTTCATGACTTGGATGAACTTTACATCACATCACATTTTCGACAACGGTCATCCTGTTCACACAACTTTAAAGCAATAATCGCAAAATCAGATGACAGAAATCAAAAACAAGGACTTTGCCGTTTGCGAGGCTCTTTGAAACGATCGCACAAACGTCCGTGTCTATTTCGAATAAAGAACCGCAAGGACTGAGGTGGTCACGTCATATTTTAATGACTTTATTATTAAAACTACTTTTTTTCTTTTAATTATAGGATGTTTCTCTGGTAAAATTGCATGTTTTTCCTGCTAATATCACTATGTTCTTGTAATTAATCAAAAATTCTTGAGGTGTGGTCCTAATTCTTCGTCATGCAACTCATAGGAGAGATGATTTCAATAAAAGCAACTTTTTGCAAGTCAACTGTAGTTTCTTTTTTTAACAAAGAAAGCAAGAAAAAAATCGATTAAAATCGGACCTGGTATAAAGAAAATCGGAGGTTTTATTTTTAAGCCGTGTCGCCCAGCCTTACCTCTTTAAGCATCCCAGTGTTAATCCCCCTAATGCAGGAGGAAGACAGGCTTGATGCACATTAACTTGTCCTGTGAAGACATCACCTTGTTTTTACAGCCTGAACTAAGTAGCTTCTTGCCAGTTAAACAAATCGTCCACCCCCTTTTTTAAGTGCTTCTGTTCTTACAGTAGCCGTGTGAATGAACACATGGAATGCTGCAGCATCAGCGTTTCCCCAACACACTTCTATATCGTTTACAATAACAATGTGTGCGTGATGCACGTAAGTGGCATGCAACATTAACAGATGTACGTTTCTGCACATGAAACGCAGATAGTTGCTGAGTCGGTGTTTTTACCCGTCTGATTTAGGACCTTTCAGCAGCACATCACCAACTCGCACGCTGTCAAGTTCTTCTTCTTGCCTGTAGATATGAGTTTATATCACATCTACACACATGCAGGTTGTACCTCTGGCCATTTACGCATGTAAACAGGGCCGCTTGAATGAGAAATCTGGTATTTCCTTATGGGGACTCATTTCCATTTAGTTTGAAATGTGCTTGCATCCATGCATGTCCTATTTCAGCTGGGTTTTATTTGGCGCAGACATTTTAAGTTTTCTGGATTTAAGCTGCAATAATTTCGGCATGCTATTAGAGGATGGGTAAGGTAAGGTAACAAACTCTTAGTTTTGCTTCGTCTTGCTCCCACTGCTGACCGCTACCACCCAATCCTCTCACAAAGTATTTTAATCTTGGTCGCGGTTGAAAATGTTAAGAGTCACAAACAATAGTAGCATTGATTCAGAGCGTTTTCCCCATTTGCCTTTGAACATGGTAATCGTGGTTTCAACAAAGACATCTGTTCATCCACGCCGCATCGTTATAGTTTTGCTTTTGTATCATAATTGGCTGCTTGAATGTTTTGCTCCACTTCATTTCTTTACTCCCTCGTTGTGGTTATAAGGTACAAGACGTGAGACCTGAGTGAGAATCGCCAAATATGCAACTCTCCTATTGTGTTATTCTAATGTTTTTTTTTATTTTTTATTTATTTATGCATCTAGACATCTCTGAGTCATTCACACTAACTTATAAAAAACTGTGTCCTTGGTCGGTATTTAAAGAAGTCTTGAGAACATTTCTGCCCAGAAAAGACAGTTTCTTCCAAAACACCAAAATAAAAAAAATCAACATGACTACAGCATGTATTGGCTTTGTAGGGGTTTATATCTAATTAAGTCCTGTAATATTTAACTGTATTACCTCCTGAGACATCAAGGACAGGTTCTGTGCTACATAGTTTGAGAACAGGTACAATAAGGAAAAAAAAAATGCAGGATTATAATATGAGTTTATGTGTAAATCAGTGGAGCGTGAACAGTGTTCACAGCAATAGTTTGCAGTAATTTTCAAAGTCATCAACATAACATTTCTTCCCATGAGATTTACATCATTTTGTCCCTTCTCCAGGAAAAATGTGCAACAAGGACTTGAGTGATTTTGACATCTGGCAGCACAAGAGTTATTTTGATGTTTTCATTATACTTTTGTTTTATTTCGTCGTGACTTTTTGTTTGTCTAACTCAATTTTAATGAGTTTTTAGAGTGTGTTTGCTAGTTTGTATTAGTTATTGTCAGGTAAAAATGGTTTAGTTTTAGTTTAGTTTCATTTAATTATTTTTGAACAGCCAACTGAGTCCAACTTTCTGACAGGTGATTTGCTTTAAAAAGAAATCTTCTTGAAGGGAAGCCTTTTACCTGTATTAATTACATACAGGTAATAAATTTCACGTTGCTCCTGATTCATGGCGGTGCTATTGATTCACTTAGCATGAGAGCAGATTTGTTCCAGAATACCAAGGCAGTGCGGTCCAGTTCTTAGGTCAGGCGTCTGACTGAATGCAGCTGCTGGCCGTGGATGGAGTTACACGAGCATTTTTAAAACTTAACATACGGCTACGGTGGATATTCTGTATTTAGTCTTTATTACATTATAAACCGTGCTGTGAACTCGTGCAGAATGGTGTTTTATGACAAATAGCTTCTATTCCCCACAGGCTTTTAGGAACGCAGTCACTTCATTACAGCTTTCAGTCCAAACCACTGACACGGCAGCTGCACATTAGCTTTAAAACAGATAATAGTGGACGTATGGAGTGAGCCTGTGGGAGTGAGGCGGCGTCTCTCTGTGTCTGGGTTAATCCGGGTACAACTTCACAGCAGAGAAACGCCCGGTTGCTGCTTCGTCCGTCTGGTTTTCACTTAGACAGGAATCAAATTAAAAAGGCCCATGAATAAGTGTCGTTTTCAACATAAGTTGACGTACCAAGCTAATTTAGGAAAATTTATGTTTAAGTATTGGCACAAGCCTAACGTTTGATTTAGGCGGTGATCAAAAACTCAGCCCGTCTCCAGGTTTTTCTCTTTCCAACCAACTGGTCTCCCCATAGATATTTTGGCTCAGAAAACGCTAATCTCGCTGTTATGAACACTCAATTTTGCTGCGTGTTGGTTAATTTAAGGAAATCTTCTCAAAATGATTGGTACAACAGGCATCCTTTGTAGATAACATTCTAGCTAATAACCGTCCAACATTGTAAAACTGGCAAACGTCTTGTCCGCTTGCAAAGGTAAGAACTTGTCAAATGTGATAAAAACTCCCACTTCCTCATTTTAAATCCAAATTCTCTCGTTGGTCTTTATGAAATTTTCTTACGTAGAGTCCCTGCTTTTTCTTAACGCTCCTATACAACTTCATTTCAGATTCTCAGATTATTATTGCAGATGCACTGACAGATGCACTGACAGATGCACAGAAGTACTTTACAAAACCTCATTTCTAGAATAGCTATTTAAAAAATCTCCTCTGAAGCACTTTTCTTATTCTGTGAAAAATTACCTCCATTACTTTTTGTCTCAAAATGTAACCGTCAGGAAACATTTGTAACGTGTCCTAAAAACAATACAAAAATGTAGCTTCTTTGCATAACTATTTTAACAAAAAAAAAAAAAAACATGTTGGGACTTCAGAATTTAAAATGTAAAACAGTTGAGGAAATTTCCATGTAGCGTAACTCATCACAATCAGAAAAATATAAAGGCCTGTTTTAGTTAATAACTTAAGTTTTAGCTAGTTTACAAAAAAGATGGGTAAGAATTTCAGCCCCTAAATGTGTAAAACTGGTAGACACCAAGCAAAAGAGTTACATGGGGTTTTCCAAAGTGTTTATTCAAGCTAACCTAAAATCAAATCTTTTTCAGTTTTTTTGTATCAACATTTGAAAAGCGTTTATCCCTTTCCTTCCTCTTAGTCGTTACGTACCAAACTACAACAACAAAAAAATCCCAACATACGCTAAAGGTTTTGGTTGAAAAGGAATATAAAAAATGCGTGTATTGAGTATGAGTGCTGTATATGACGTTATACTAGTGCAAAATGGGGTTGTAACAAAATAGCAGACTTACATCTGGTGTTTGAGTGAAGGAAAAGTAAAACACACAATAAAACTTTCTCATTTTTGCAAAAAAAAAAAAAAATAAAAAAAAATTGTCAAGCATACCAACAAAGGATAGTAAAGATTGTTGATTTTTTTTATTTTGAGGAAAAAAACTTTGTATCTGTTCATCGGTATTTAAAGAAGTCTTGAGAAGTTATTGTGTTCCCGAGCCATTTTAGGAATTTTAATTGAACTATTACAAGAATCTTCTTAGACAAAAGAAACCATTCCTTTTTACATCTGTGCTGTCCACTTCATTATTTCTTTTTTTTTTTAATTTTTTTTTATTTGATCTGATCTCACAAATCCAGCGCCCAAAACATTCAATCAACGCCGCCAAACACACACGTATACACAAAAATGCACTAACAGCAGCGGGTTCGTTGTGCCAGGGACAGCATATTGAGATTTTTGACCTTACCTCCAAACAAAAGTAAAGAAAGATGATTCTGTTTGGCAGCCTTCAGGGACCCCCAAAAAACTGTCCTGTCCTCTTAAAAGACTAGACAGACGAAAGGACCCTGTGAAGTGTGTCTGCGCCTCCCCTGCTGCTGACAGATAATGTGAGGCCATTAGTGTGTGTTTGCTTGTGCGTCCCTCTTAGAACCTCTTGATGCTTTTAAGACACTCCTCAAGATCCTTCAAGGCTGCAGAAACACACAATGGACGGTCTGGAAAAAAAAAAAAAAAGAAGAGGGACGTCTATATGTGTACGTGGAGGTTTACGGTGTTTATGAAAGGCTGCTTGTTGGTCTTCAAGGAAGCTCTCCGAAGTTGGAGACAGGCAGCGAGAACATCAAACCGAGTCATTAAAGAGGCTTTCACAAAAAAAAAAAAAAAAAAAACAACAACGAGAGAGA